CTCTCCCTGGTCTCTCTCCGGTCTCTCTCTCGGATCTAACTTTTCTGGTCTCTCACTGGCCTCTCTCTTGGCTCTCTCTGGTGTCTCTCTGGTCTCTCTCTGTTCTCTCTCTGGTGTCTCTCTGGTCTCTCTCTGGTCTCTCTCTGGTCTCTCTCTGGTCTCTCTCTGGTCTCTCTCTGGTCTCTCTCTGGTCTCTCTCTGGTGTCTCTCTGGTCTCTCTCTGGTCTCTCTCTGGTCTCTCTCTGGTCTCTCTCTGGTCTCTCTCTGGTCTCTCTCTGGTCTCTCACTGGTCTCTCTCTGGTCTCTCTCTGGTCTCTCTCTGGTCTCTCTCTGGTCTCTCTCTGGTGTCTCTCTGGTCTCTCTCTGGTCTCTCTCTGGTCTCTCTCTGGTCTCTCTCTGGTCTCTCTCTGGTCTCTCTCTGGTCTCTCACTGGTCTCTCTCTTGTTTCTCTCTGGTCTAACTGGTCTCTTGCTCTGGTCTCTCTGTACTCTCTCAATGGTGTCACTTTCTGGTCTTTCTCTGGTCTCTCTGTAGTCTCTCACTGGTCTCTCTCTTGTTTCTCTCTGGTCTAACTGGTCTCTTGCTCTGGTCTCTCTCTAGTCTCTCTCTGGTGTCCCTTTCTGGTCTTTCTCTGGTCTCTCTGTAGTCTCTCTCTGGTCTCTCTTGGCTCTCTCTGGTCTCCCTTTCTGGTCTTTCTCTGGTCTCTCTGTAGTCTCTCTCTTGCCTCTCTCTGGTCTCTCTCTCTGGTCTCTCACTGCTCTCTCTGGTCTCTCTCTCTCTCATCTTTCTCTGGTCTCTTAAACTCGTATTGTTGTCTTTGTGGGTTTAAACTCTCCTAAACTACTAAAATCCTTTCCTTCACACTGGACCTGCTCCTCTGTCCTCACTCAACCCTGACCTGAGGCCGAGCTTACTGTCCAGATGTTTCGGATCAGATTTAGTCCCGCGGCTCTGGACTTAAGCTCCTGGTCCTGGTCCTAGTCAAGTCCTGGTTCAGACCTCGCGTCTCAGGCGGTAGAGTAGACACATGTCCAAAGATCCAGGACCCATAACTGAGGCTGTAGATCCAGGACTGAGGCTGTGGATCCAGGACTGAGACTATAGACCCAGGACTAAGGTTGTAGATCCAGGACTGAGGCTGTAGATCCAGGACTGAGGCTGTAAGTAGTAAGTAAGTAAGTAATCTTTATTTATATACCGCCGTTTCACTGCAGATCTGAGTCTCAAAGCGGTTTACAATTGTTATTTTTTGGGCATTTGTCTCTCACTCCACACAGAGATGGGAGCGGGGTCGCCAGTACAGGAGGCGCATGCTAGAACTATTGGACATATTTTTAGTGGTAGGGGAAACCGGAGTACCCGGAGGAAACCTACGCAGACACGGGGAGAACATGCAAACTCCACTCAGAAAGGCCCTGGTCCGACCGGGATTCGAACCCAGGACCTTCTTGCTGAGAGGCGAGAGTGCTATCCACTCAGCCACCGTGCCTGTAGATCCAGGACTGAGGCTGTAGATCCAGGACTGAGGCTGTGGATCCAGGACTGAGGCTGTAGACCCAGGACTGAGGTTGTAAACCCAGAACTGGGGCTGTAGATCCAGGACTGAGGCTGTAGATCCAGGACTGAGGCTGTAGACCCAGGCCTATATGTTAGCATCGTCCATCTCTATACAGTCTATGATTCTTCTAGAGGCAGTACCTGACCATTCTCTTATTCTGGGTCAAATGCAGCCTCCTCTCACCCATGTTCTCAGGTTTGGAATGAGAACCCAGCTGCTCCTCTTGTTCCTGTTGGTTTTATTGTTCGGGTGAATTAGAAAAGTGTGTTTTCTCTCAGAACATAGACGAGGCTGTAACTCTGAGTGTTAGAAAAACAATTACATAGGCTTTAAATCTGTGATTCAGGAACAGGAGAGAGAGAGGGAGGGAAAGGAGAGAGAGAGGGAAAGGAGAGAGAGAGAGGAGCGAGAGAGAGGAGAGTGAGAGGAGAGAGAGAGACATGCAGAATAGAGATCAAGAGACTCAAACTCCAAATATATTTTTTGATGTCTGGTTTTCCACATATGAGGATGTCTTTACAATCACATCTGTGTTGGCATGCTACCTCTGATCTCTCTCCTTGGTCTCTCTTTGGTCTCTCTCTTTGGGCTCTCTCCTTGGTCTCTCGCTGGTTTCTCCTTTTGGTCTCTCTCTGCTCTCTCTCTTTGGTCTCTCTGGTCTCTCTCTTGGGTCTCTCTGGTCTCCCTCCTTGGTCTCTCTCTGGTCTCTCTCTTTGGGCTCTCTCCTTGGTCTCTCGCTGGTTTCTCCTTTTGGTCTCTCTCTGCTCTCTCTCTTTGGTCTCTCTGGTCTCTCTCTTGGGTCTCTCTGGTCTCCCTCCTTGGTCTCTCTCTGGTCTCTCTCTGCTCTATCTCTTTGGGCTCTCTCATTGGGCTCTTCCTTGTTTCTTTCTCTGGTCCCTCTCTGTTCTCTCTGGTCTCTCTCACTTCTCTCGCGGTGGTTTCTTTCTCTGGTCTCTCTCTGCTCTCTCTGGTCTCTCTCACTTCTCTCTCGGGGGTTTCTTTCTCTGGTCCCTCTCTGCTCTCTCTGGTCTCTCTCACTTCTCTCTCGGTGGTTTCTTTCTCTGGTCTCTCTCTGCTCTCTCTGGTCTCTCTCACTTCTCTCTCGGGGGTTTCTTTCTCTGGTCCCTCTCTGCTCTCTCTGGTCTCTCTCACTTCTCTCTCGTGGTTTCTTTCTCTGGTCTCTCTCTGGTCTCTCTCACTTCTCTCTTGTGGTTTCTTTCTCTGGTCTCTCTCTGTTCTCTCTGGTCTCTCTCACTTCTCTCTCGTGGTTTCTTTCTCTGGTCTCTCTCTGTTCTCTCTGGTCTCTCTCACTTCTCTCTCGGTGGTTTCTTTCTCTGGTTTCTCTCTGCTCTCTCTGGTCTCTCTCACTTCTCTCTCGGTGGTTTCTATCTCTGGTCTCTCTCGTGTTTCTTTCTCTCAAATGCCAAAGTAAACGGCCTCATTATCAGCTCAGAGACAGAACACAAGGTAATTGACTCATGTAAGCCTTGTCTCTGCTCTTGTCATTTGTCTTTTATCTCACATCGGGACAAATGGGTTGTTCCTCTGCATCCCTCTGTGAGTCTCTGTGTCGCTCTGTGGGTCTCTTTGTTCCCCTTTGTTCTTTGTTTAAACTTAAACACAGAACATTCATAAATCATGAGGCGTTTAACAAAATAAATGTGCTTCTGTTGGAGCTGACAGCTGTAATTAATATGAAGAGCTTTATGTTGCTGCTTCACAGGCTCCAGAGGAAAATCTGTAATATCTCTCTCTGGTCTCTCTCTGGTCTCTCTCTGGTCTCTCTCTCTCTCTCTATAGTCTCTCCCTTGCGTCTCTCTGCTCTCTCTATCCGATCTGTCTCTGGTTAATCTCTTTTGTTCTCTGCTCTCTCTTCTTTCTATCTGGACGCTCTTTTTCATTTCCCTCTGTCTCTCTATTTTCTCTGGTCTCTCTCTCTCTCTCTTAACACTCTCTCTCTGGTCTCTCGTCTCTCTCTCTCTGGTCTCTCATTGTTCTCTCTCTCTCTCTCTCTCTTGCCTCTCTCTGGTCTCTCCCTGGTCTCTCTCTCTTGTCCGTCACTCTGGTCTTTCTTTTTCTTTCTTTCTCTGCTTCTGATCTTTGCGCTCTGTGATTTAATTACTCCACTCCTTTCATACATTCATGTTTTAAACCAATTTGTCCTTTTCTGCTGCTGCCACTGCCTCACATTCTCTCCAGCTCTTTTACATAATTATAAATTGTAGAAATGGTGATTCTGATAACAGCTAAACAGGTACATGACCCGAGCGCCCAACACAAAGCCGTCTGCATGGATTCAGGATGTGTCTCTGGTGGACGAGGAGAGAGAGGGAGAGAGAGAGAGATAGAGAGGAGAGAGAAGAGAGAGAGGGAGACCAGAGAAAGGAGAGAGAGGAAGAGAGAGAGAGAAGGGAGGGAGATGAGAGAGAAAGAGGAGGTGGTAATATCTGTAAATGACTCTCCTCTTCGGGCTTTTGCTCCGGCTTCTGTTGCAAAGTGAGTGAAAGAGGATAATGGACAGACGGAGATACAGAACATGAGGATGGAAGTCAAAAGGCTCTAAGTGGAGACAAAGAGAGGGAGAGAGACAGAGAGAAAGACAGAGAGAGAGAGAGAGAGAGAGAAGTAGAGACTGAGATCAGAGAGATAATAGCGAGTATCTGTTTGCGTTTGGAGGTAGACTTTACTTCTGATGCTAACTCTGTAATTCAAAGGCCCGGTTTAGACAGAGTCGCTGCGGAGACGTTGCAAAGCAATTTGCACAAAACGACCTGGCTCCTTATTCAAGTGCGCAGCGAATAGACGACCATGAAAAAACAATGTAGTTCTAGCACCTGTCAGTAGGGGGCAGTGGAACATTACAACACGACATGGGCGACCCCCAGCAGTAGAAGCACTTCCTCAACAACATCCTCCTCAGGCCACTGCAAAGACGTGAAAGAATTCAACAACATCATTCTGTATTTAGCAGCAGCTGCGAATATGGAAACTGAAACTAGAGCTTTGCGTGGTTTTGTTCGGATGAACGAAGGAGTAGAATTCTCCTCTGTGTAGAGCTCAAAGCACACATTACATTAGTTTAACCGCCGTCATTGTTGTTTACATTTGTTCTTGGCTTCTGCGCATGTCCAAATGTATGTGAAGTGGTGAGGAGGTCATAGCAGGCAGAGAATTAAAAACCTTTTTCTTCACGCAGCTGTGATACAGCCCCCCACTGAGCAGCGTATCTGTTCTGTTCCACTCTGGAGGCTGGTTCTCAACGCTTGAGTTTGTACCCACTCAAAACACCTCAAGAGTGCTCTCTACACCCACACTCTATTGGGGTTAAGTCAGTGATCAGTCGGTGTACCTGCAAAGTAACCAGCGCCCCCTGCTGACCACTGTTTGTAGAACCTCTCACAAACTACCTTTCCTCATGTGTGTGTGTGTGTGTGTGTTGCAGCATGTCCCCCCGGCTCGTACAAGATGTCGTCTCGTCAGCAGGAGTGTTTCTCGTGTCCAGAGAACAGCGTCGCAGAAGAAGAGGGTTCGATCATGTGTGTTTGTAAAGAAGACCACTTCAGGACTCCTCTGGACCTACCATCAGCTGCCTGCACCAGTAAGGACCAGATCCCAGAGACCAGAGAAAGACCAGAGATAGACTAGAGGGAGAGACCACAGAAAGACAAGAGAGAGATCAGAGAGAGACCAGAGAGAGACCAGAGAGAGACCAGAGAGAGATCAGAGAGAAACCAGAGAGAGATCAGAGAGAGATCAGAGAGAGACCAGAGACCAGAGAGAGACCAGAGAGAGACCAGAGAGAAACCAGAGAGAGATCAGAGAGAGACCAGAGAGAGATCAGAGAGAGACCAGAGAGAGATCAGAGAGACCAGAGAGAGAGGCCAGAGAGACCAGAGAGACCAGAGAAAGAGGCCAGAGAGAGAGACCAGAGAAAGACCAGAGAGGGACCAAGAACCCCTCAGAATATGACACAAATAGAAACCATGACAAGATTGGAAATCTCCGCTCTGTGATCCTGGTGTTGTTTTTGCATATCCAAAACAAACAACTAACCAATTAGAGACCTTCTGTCGCATATAGTAATTTGGCTTCAGCAGCGAAACAGAGCAGCCTTACTCCTGATTGGCTTGTGGTTGCTAGGCTGTTGCTACCCACACGTTTGGTTCCATGTTACCGTCCACAGAGTCTCTTCAAGTTAGCTTTCATCAGCTCCTTCTGTAGATTTGCTCACTTCTTCTACAGTCTCTGAGACCTCACGCTTCAATATGTGACATCATCATCCTCCCACTCTCCCCCATCCCTCCCCCTGTCCTCAGTCTGACCTCGGCGCCCCCTACAGGCCTGTCCTGATCCAGCATCTGTCTCCATTAACCCTGAGCTCTGACGGCAGCCTTCACCTCCCCTTCACACCAGCGTCAGGCTCAACGGCTCGTGCAGATAACAAACCTATTTCCCCTTCTCACACTCCTTTCTTTAGTAATGTATTGTGTTTATGAAAGATACAAGGATGTTTGAAAGCCATTGTGGTCACAGAAAATGAATGAGAACCCTACAATTCTGACACAGACTGCATACAGACGTTCTTGCATGGGTTTCCTCCAGGTGCCCCGGTTCCCCCTGCCACTAAACACTGTGGCTGTATGTAGAATAGCTCTGTTCTCTCTTGTGTCTCTCTTGTGTCTCGTGGGTTAAATGAAGGTCAATAATAATAATAATGATAATCAAAAGGCTGAGGCTGCGAGAAAGCAGAGATGTGGTCCCAGAGGGAGGGGGTTATGGGGGAGCACGGTGAGAGAGGGGGTAGCAAGGGTGAGGGAGGGGGGAGCGAGGGGTCACCACAGGATCAGGGACAGCAGATTACCCTCAGGAGACTTTAATGTCCAGGAGAAAGAAGCAAACTGGAAAGTATGGATTAATAGATTTATGAGTAAGAAGGAAACTGATGGGTTCAAAGGAACGCATGAATAAAACATGTGACAAGAGACCAGGGAGAGACCAGGGAGGGACCAGAGAGAGACCAGTGAGAGACCAGAGAGAGACCAGAGAGAGACCAGTGAGAGACCAGAGAGAGACCAGAGAGAGACCAGAGAGAGACCAGAGAGAGACCAGAGAGAGACCAGAGAGAGACCAGAGAGAGACCAGTGAGAGACCAGAGAGAGACCAGAGAGAGACCAGAGAGAGACCAGAGAGAGACCAGAGAGAGACCAGAGAGAGACCAGAGAGAGACCAGAGAGAGACCAGAGAGCGACTAGAGAGAGACCAGAGAGACCAGAAAGCGACCAAAGACCATAGAGAAACCAGTAAGAGACCAGAGAGAAACTAAAGAGAGCCTAGAAAGATGTTAGAGAGAGACCAGAGAAAGCTCAGAGAGGTTAAAGAGAAATTAGAGAGACCAGAGAGAGAGCAGAGAAGTTAAAAAGAGACCAGAGTGACCAGAAAGAAACCACAGAAAGGTTAAAGAGAGACCAGAGAGAGACTAGAGAGAAACCTACTAGACCAGAAAGAGACTAGAATGAAACCCACAAGACCAGGGAGAGACACAAACGGTTCCTGAGTCAAGAGGAGCCAGAGCAGAGAAATAATTGCTCTCCCTCTGAGTTTCTCTTCTCTTGAACACAGACTGATCCTGTCTTTTGGATCCATCCTGTCCATGTGAGACTAATGATCAGTTCTGAGATGACGGTCAGGGAGGTGGCGAGGTCGGGAATATCAAAGAGGATTATAAGGATTATTGCATGGAATTCAAAACAGTTTAGACTGACACCTCTCACTTTCCTCTACAGCTGAGTGACCTGCTTCAGTCATTTAGTTATATTTAGGGTCTACAGCTTTAGCAGGTTACTAATGTTAGCATAGCCTATTCTGTACATAAAGGTCCAATATAACACTTTTTGACGTTTCTGTGGTTTAAACAGGATATCAGTGCTATTTGGCCTTCATACACATGCCCAGAGTAGTTTTATCATTGATTCCCTCAAGCTTTCGTTAGAGAGGGATCTTTCTCTTTCATTCTCGAGGGGCACAGAAACGAGCTGTTTCAAATCGTGACGTGCACCAATCTGTGACATCATATGCCCGCCTCCAAGAGGTGATTGACAGCGAGAAACTGAACCACCGTATCAGTGCAGTCTGTGGTCAGCTGCAGCCTCTCTACAGCGTGAGGTCCATAGACAGTAAAAAGGCATCTGTGTTTTTTTGAGCTAGCTTCATGTCAACTTGGAGAAAATAGTGTAAATATGTGACGGCAGTATTTGGCTCAAAGATGGAGAATGTGGCAAATCAGGATCAACTTTGTTCTCGGGGATCTGCCTCTGAAATCTGCAAGTCTGAAATCTGTTACGAAACTGACACTTCATCATAGACTGTTCCAGAACTATGGTTACCTTGAAACGGAACCTACTCAAACGCTGATCTGGAAACATAACCTAATATTTCCAACTTGAAAGATGCTAACAGGAGCCTCAGTCTAGAGTACAATGCAACTAACTCACCTTATGTCACTGTGAACTAAATAATTAGGCCTGATTCTGGACCGAGGACATAGGGCTCTATGTGACGGGTTGCCATTGTTGGAAAAAGTGTATTCTTAGGTCTGAAATAACCATGTAGCAGCGAAAGCTGTACATTCAGCTTTTCGAACTTAGCGACACTGTGCGGGTGGTGGGAGTCTGCAGGAGGCTCACAGTCTGCAGAGGAGCAGGGATCAGCTTGTTCCAGTAGAGGTTATATCACCTCTATGCACAAAATGGCTCTAATTTGACCACTTTTGAACTGTGAAACATGTGGAAAAGCGGAAATTGGCTCCGTTAAGTACAAATATAAACACAATATAAACACCAGCACCACAGAGTGCTCAGAGACTAGAGAGAGACCAGAGAGAGACCAGAGAGAGACCAGAGAGAGACCAGAGAGAGACCAGAGAGAGACCAGAGAGAAACCAGAGAGAGACCAGAGAGAAACCAGAGAGAGACCAGAGAGAAACCAGAGAGAGCCTAGAGAGAGAACAGAGAGAAACCAGAGAGACCAGAGAGAGACTGGAGAGAGACCAGAGAGAAACCAGAGAGAGCCTAGAGAGAGACCAGAGAGAAACCAGAGAGACCAGAGAGAGACTGGAGAGAGACCGGAGAGAAACCAGAGAGAGCCTAGAGAGAGAACAGAGAGAAACCAGAGAGACCAGAGAGAGACTGGAGAGCAGAGCAGAGCTAGAGCAGAGAGAGAAAGAGACTAAAGAGAGACCAGAGAGACACCAGTGAGAGACCATAAACCCTCTCCACCCTCTGCGTCACGGTCTCTCGAGCCGCCCTGATTGGACTATCGACCCACTCTGGCTCCTGACTCCTGTGCGATAACATTTATAGCATCTAATGGCCGCATTAATTACACTATTGATCAGCTAATTATGATTTGGCTAATCCACTGTGTGCTAATGAGAGACCAGAGAGACCCAGGGAGACCAGAGAGAGACCAGAGAGAGACCAAGAAGAGACCAGGGAGAGACCAGAAAGACCAGAGACAGAGCAGTGAGAGAGCCTAAATCATGTTTCTCATGGACCATTTCCAAAAGCCGTTTGAACCGTGTGACCTGTTTTTGTTTTCCATCAAAACAATTGATTTTTGCACAAATCCAGGATCAACAGGATTACGCTGCATCATTACCATGCGCTAATTCCACTGTCATGCTAACGTAGTTTACGCTAATCCAGGTGAGATAGCACGGACATTATGCTACTGACAATAATTGTACTCAGACTCTCATTCCCTTAAACCTGGAAATGTAAGTTCATGATCTTCAGTGTCACACCAAATGTGCTATAGAAATAAATAAATGTCCCTTCTCCCTTTCTCTTGCTAATGCTTTAAGCAGCTGGATCTTCTCCATTCTCTCCTCATTACTATTATTCATTCAGTGTCAACAAGACCAGAGAGAAACCAGGGAGAGACCAGAAAGAGTGAGAGACCAGAGGGAGACGAGAGAAAGTCCAGAGAGAGACCAGAGGGAATCTAGAGAGAGACTAGATAAATGTATAGAGAATCTACAGGAGTTCGTAAATTTCTCCATTGTGAGATCAATAAAGTTTATTGTATCTAATCTTATCTAACTTGTCGCTCTCTTCTCTGTCCTCTCTCCTCTCTCCCCTCTCTCCTCTCTACTCTCTCCCCTCTCACCTCTCTCCTCTCACCTCTCTCCCCTCTCTCCTCTCTACTCTCTCCCCTCTCACCTCTCCCCTCTCACCTCTCTCCCCTCTCTCCTCTCTACTCTCTCCCCTCTCACCTCTCCCCTCTCACCTCTCTCCCCTCTCTACTCTCTACTCTCTCCCCTCTCACCTCTCTCCTCTCCCCTCTCACCTCTCTCCCCTCTCTCCTCTCTCCCCTCCCCCCACGTCTCTCCTCTCTCCCCTCTCACCTCTCTCCTCTCTCTCCTTCCACCTCTCTCCCCTCTCCCCTCTCTCCCCTCTCACCTCTCCCCCCTCTCTCTCCCCTTCCCCCTCTCACCTCTCTCCTCTCTCTCCTTCCACCTCTCTCCCCTCTCCCCTCTCTCCCCTCTCACCTCTCTTCCCCCTCACCTCTCTTCTCCCTCACCTCTCTTCTCCCTTCTCCAGGACCGCCCTCTCCCCCTCGAGACCTGTCCTTCTCCCTCAGTCAGTCCACTCTGGTGCTGGAGTGGTCCCCTCCCTCAGACTCCGGGGGCCGTGTGGACCTGTCGTACACGGTGAGCTGCCAGCGGTGTGGGCTGAGGCAGTGTGAACCATGCGGGGCCAGTGTGGGGTTCGTGCCTCAGCAGGGGGGCCTCACCGACAGGACGGTGTCTGTGGTCAACCTCCTGCCAAACTCCAACTACACCTTCACTGTGGAGGCTCTGAACGGAGTCTCAGAGCTGCTGCCCAACAAGAGGTTCTACGCACAGGTCAACGTGTCTACCAGTCTGCCCGGTGAGTACCTCCAGGTGCTACGGTGGTACGCTTCTGGGTCAGAGAGAGAGCAGAGAGAGAGAGCAGAGAGAGAGAGAGCAGAGAGAGACCAAAGAGAGACCAGAGAGACACCAAAGAGAGAGACCAGAGAGACACCAAAGAGAGAGACCAGAGAGACACCAAAGAGAGAGACCAAAGAGAGAGACCAAAGAGAGACCAGAGAGAGACCAAAGAGAGACACCAAAGAGAGACACCAAAGAGAGCGACCAAAGAGAGAGACCAAAGAGAGATACCAAAGAGAGAGACCAAAGAGAGACCAGAGAGAGAGGACAGCTTCTGCTCTCACACAGGAGGATTTTTTCCTTGTTATCATGAACTTTCTTTTAAAATAGTTTGTCCATGTGTTCAGAGTCTGTAATGGGTCATAAACTGCTGTAGTAACAGTTTCTGCAGATAAATGTTTAAATAGATTAGATGAATTCTCGTGGGCAGAGGAAGTAAAGTGCTGTAAAATCTGCCCTGTTTCTGCTCGTTCTCCTGGTGCTTCCCCCAAACAGGAGTCAAACTGGGTCACAGCTCAAACACGACAGTATCAACACTGGGACTTGACGGCTCCCATTTAAATTATAAGAATTCTAAGAAATTCCCAAAAACAGTTGCAGTTTTCCACAAGTTTTATTAAACTTAAGGATTATTAACATAAAGTATTTGCATTAATATAAGCTAAAACAAATGAATATGACTGACAACAACAGTTTGTTCAATGGCTTAATGCTAACTGCTAACAGAAACTATGTGTTGCTATGGTAACTAAGATAATTGCAAGACCAGTCCAGAACCAGTCCATGACCTGCACCTTGGCTGCCATAGAATGTTGCTTACCAATCTCGTGACAAGACATTCTGCAGGTTCAGAGTCCTGTAGACACATGAACCTAAGCAGTGATTACACCAAACTAAAGCAGTCAGATTGACTGCTGTGGGAGCTGGTGCTAACGCTTGAAGCCGGACTCTTTATAAATAGTTTTTGCTCCATACTTATTTTTTGTAAGACTTCATGCATTTTTCAAGAAGAGAGAGTTTCTCTGTCAACCCAGATGAGGAGCAGTCTGTGTGACTGCAGCAGGAGCAGTCTGTGTGACTGCTGCAGGAGAAGTCGCTGTGACTGCAGCAGGAGCAGTCGCTGTGACTGCAGCAGGAGCAGTCTGTGTGACTGCTGCAGGAGCAGTCTGTGTGACTGCAGCAGGAGCAGTCTGTGTGACTGCAGCAGGAGCAGTCTGTGTGACTGCTGCAGGAGCAGTCTGTGTGACTGCAGCAGGAGCAGTCTGTGTGACTGCAGCAGGAGAAGTCTGTGTGACTGCTGCAGGAGCAGTCTGTGTGACTGCAGCAGGAGCAGTCGCTGTGACTGCAGCAGGAGCAGTCTGTGTGACTGCAGCAGGAGAAGTCGCTGTGACTGCAGCAGGAGCAGTCTGTGTGACTGCAGCAGGAGCAGTCTGTGTGACTGCTGCAGGAGCAGTCTGTGTGACTGCAGCAGGAGCAGTCTGTGTGACTGCAGCAGGAGCAGTCGCTGTGACTGCAGCAGGAGCAGTCTGTGTGACTGCAGCAGGAGCAGTCGCTGTGACTGCAGCAGGAGCAGTCTGTGTGAGTGCAGCAGGAGCAGTCTGTGTGACTGCTGCAGGAGCAGTCTGTGTGACTGCAGCAGGAGCAGTCTGTGTGACTGCTGCAGGAGCAGTCTGTGTGACTGCAGCAGGAGAAGTCGCTGTGACTGCAGCAGGAGCAGTCTGTGTGACTGCAGCAGGAGCAGTCTGTGTGACTGCAGCAGGAGCAGTCTGTGTGAGTGCAGCAGGAGCAGTCTGTGTGACTGCTGCAGGAGCAGTCTGTGTGACTGCAGCAGGAGCAGTCTGTGTGACTGCAGCAGGAGCAGTCTGTGTGACTGCAGCAGGAGCAGTCTGTGTGACTGCTGCAGGAGCAGTCTGTGTGACTGCTGCAGGAGCAGTCTGTGTGACTGCAGCAGGAGCAGTCTGTGTGACTGCTGCAGGAGCAGTCTGTGTGACTGCAGCAGGAGAAGTCGCTGTGACTGCAGCAGGAGCAGTCTGTGTGACTGCTGCAGGAGCAGTCTGTGTGACTGCAGCAGGAGCAGTCTGTGTGACTGCAGCAGGAGCAGTCTGTGTGACTGCAGCAGGAGCAGTCTGTGTGACTGCAGCAGGAGCAGTCTGTGTGAGTGCAGCAGGAGCAGTCTGTGTGAGTGCTGCAGGAGCAGTCTGTGTGACTGCAGCAGGAGCAGTCTGTGTGACTGCAGCAGGAGCAGTCTGTGTGACTGCAGCAGGAGCAGTCTGTGTGACTGCAGCAGGAGCAGTCTGTGTGACTGCTGCAGGAGAAGTCGCTGTGACTGCTGTGACTGCAGGAGCAGTCTGTGTGACTGCAGCAGGAGCAGTCTGTGTGACTGCAGCAGGAGAAGTCGCTGTGACTGCAGACCAAATAATAGGTTTGGACTTTTGTGAATTTACAATGGGCAAAAACAGCATAGAAGAAAACTGTTTTTTTCCAGTAACATTGAACAATCCTTGAGTATTATGATGCTAATGAAGGACAATGAGTTCTGTGTGTGTGTGTGTGTGTGTGTGTGTGTGTGTGTGTGTGTGTGTGTGTGTGTGTGTGTGTGTGTGTGTGTGTGTGTGTGTGTGTGTGTGTGTGTGTGTGTGTGTGAGTGTGTGTGTGTGTGTGTGTGTGTGTGTGTGTGTGTGTGTGTGTGTGTGTGTGTGTGTGTGTGTGTGTGCGTGCGTGCGTGCGTGTGTGTGTGTATGATAAAGACATATTCAGAGACAACAACTTGATTAACGTTCCAAGGAGGTTGTTGTTTTAGTTCAGTTTTCTTCAGCGGAAAATCTTGTATCTTTGTAAGCGTTTGGTCCCTGGTCTCTCGCTTTCTGAGACAAGAAAGAGACTCTTCCTTGTCTCTTGCTGCTCTCTCTCTGGTCTCTCTTGCTGCTCTCTCTCTGATCTCTCTCTGGTCTCTCTCTGGTCTCCCTCTGGTCTTTCTGGTCATGTGTGTAGCTTGACTCACTGTAACTCAGTTATATTCTCACCGTGACTTTTACTGCTTCCAAACCTGTATTGCCCCTCTTCTCTCTCCCCTCTCCTCCCCTCCCCCTCCTCCCCCTTGAGTTCCCGGGCCCAGCTCTACACGCTGATAATGGGAGTACATTATCGTCAGTGTTGCGGTATTAGAGTCCGTAGAGGAGCAGTGAAGCGTGCCACACAGGACAGACCCCTCTGGTGCCAGATTACCAGCTGCATTACACCAGTGAGACCAGAGCGAGCTTCCTTCTCTGGGATTTGTGATGACATTTAGGAATTAGGAGTGAGAGTCCTTAGAGAACAGAGAGAGAGGAGGAAGAGAGGAGGGAGAGAGGGGAATGACTCAAAGCAGGGATTCTACCACGGTAAAGCCACACAGAATTACAGTCGAAAAAGAAAGTTATATATATTGAAATCATCCCACAGAGAAAACTCACATTCTGGTCTGTCTCTGGTCTCTCCCTCTGGTATCTCCCTCTGGTCTCTCTCTAAAGGTGCACTTTATTGATCCCCGTAGGGCAATTCATCCTCTGCATTTGACCCATCCTGATGCCACTAAGGCTTACGTCAGGAGCAGTGGTTTCCGTAGTAACAGCGCCCGGGAACGAGGGTTACGTATGTAACCACTGTTCTATGAATCCCGGATGACCGCCAGAGGGCGGTGCATAGCACTGAATGTTCCCTTCGCGCATGCGCAGTTCGAGTAATAATACCAAATGAGTCACACCTGTGACCCCCTGGGTGACACACCGGAGGTAATAAAGTCCAGCGTCATCCAGCACTCTGTTCCTGCAGAATCTTCTCGCGGATGCAAGGACCCTGAGTGACAGAGCGCCTCTGGCGGTCATCCGGGATTCATAGAACCGGGGTAACATACGTAACCCTCGTTCTATTTCATCCCTTCAGACCGCCAGAGGGCGGTGCATAGCACTGAATGACCTTATACCAGCTATGTCACGAAGGAACTTGACCACACACCTCACGGAGGAGAGCCAGAGGATTCCTGAAGGACCACGCCAAGAGGAGCCGGAGTGGCCACATTGATGTTATAGAATCTGGTGAACGTGCTTGGTGTAGCCCAAGACGCAGCAGCACAAATAGTTCCCAACGGCACCCCGCGCATAGCGGCCCAGGAGGTAGAGACACCCCTGGTAGAATGGGCCCTCACCGTGGCTGGCGGGTCGCGGCCGGCCGAAATATACGCCTGACTGATAACGTCAACCACCCAGTGGGAAAGGCGTTGCTTCGAAAGCGGACTTCCCAGTCTAGCACCACCATAAGCAACAAAGAGCTGGTCTGAGCGCCTCACACCTGCCGTCGCAGCAACGTAGGCCTCCAATGCCCTCACAGGACACAGCAGGTGCAGTCTGTCCTCACCCCCATCCAGGGGGGACACAAACCGCGCCAACCTCAAAGGCCGGTTACAATAGTCACGGGAAAGCACCTTAGGGAGGAAAGTGGGATTAGGCCACAAGACCACGCCAGTCCTCTCAGGATCCCAGTGTAGGCATGAGGGACTGACAGAAAGTGCATGCAACTCACCGACCCTTTTTGCAGAGACCACAGCCAACAGGAAAGCAGTCTTATAGGAGAGCCACTTGAGGTCCGTTCGGGCCAATGGCTCATACGGAGGGCGGCAGAGAGACTCCAACACCAAGGCCAGGTCCCAAACCGGAGACCGCGCGGGCACGCGAGGGTGCAGCCTACGAGCTCCGCGTAAAAAGAGAGACACCAGGTTATGGCCCCCCACAGTACAGTTATCAACCAGGCCATGATAACATGAAATAGCAGCAACATATACCTTCAGAGTAGATGGGGCCCGACCTTCATCCAGGAGAGACTGAAGGAATTCCAGGACAACCGCCACCGGGCACGACACGGGATCCCGACCGCGGGAAGAACACCAGCGGGAGAACAACTTCCACCTGTTCTCATACAGCCGCCGAGTAGAGGCCGCCCTGGCATTCAGGAGTGTACGCCTGACAGGGCCAGTGACATCGAGTGCCCGCAGCTCGGGCCAGCCAACGGCCATACCCACAACTTGAGGCGGTGAGGACAGGGATGCCACACCTGACCGTCCAGCTGTGAGAGCAGATCCCGCCTGGGAGGGAGAGGCCAGGGGGGAGCCCAACAAAGTCTGAGTAGCAGTGGAAACCAGGGCCGTGCAGGCCAAAACGGAGCCACCAGTAATAAACTGTGCCCCGCCCGAAGGACCCTCTGGAGGGTTGGCCAGATCAGAGGAAAAGGGGGGAAGGCGTACAGGAGGGCCTGAGGCCAACTGTGCGCCAGGGCATCCTGGCCGAGAGAGCCCGGAGCCCCGTCCAGGGAAAAAAACTGAGGGCAATGAGTGGAGGCCACCGAAGCGAACAGGTCCACCTGTGCCCGACCAAAGAGGCCCCACACCCTCTGGACCACACCGGGGTGGAGACACCATTCCCCCGGGGCAGGCCTCCCGCGAGACAGGGAGTCCGCCACGCGATTGCAGTCCCCTGGCAGATACGCTGCACGCAGTGTAGCCAGGCGAGGCGCAGCCCAAACCAGCAGAGCCTGAGACACCTCGAGGAGCCGAGCCGATCGGACACCCCCTTGATGGTTGATGTGATACACGACCGAGGTGTTGTCCGAACGAATGAGGACATGTTTCCCCAGCAGGTGAGGCAAAAACTCCTGGAGAGCAAGGTGGACGGCCCGAAGCTCCAGTACATTTATGTGGTCTGAGCGCTCCGCCCGAGACCAAACCCCTCGGGCCAACCTGCGCTGCCACACAGCACCCCATCCCGTACGGCTGGCGTCGGTGGTGACCACTTCCCTGCGGCACACTACCACCCCCAAGGGGACCCCACGTGACAGGAGACCGCGGTCCCTCCATGGAGCCAAAGCACGAAAACATGCCCACGTCACCTGTAACCGTCTGTGGCGGTGACGAACGGCATCCAAACGAAACCCGTTCAGCCACCTCTGCAACGGGCGAAGCGAAAGCAGCCCGAGAGGAACCACACGAGAGATCGAGGCCAGCTTCCCCACCAGCTGTAGAAAGCTGACGTAACTGTGCAGAGTGCCAAGACCGAAACGGGACACCACACCGTGGATGTCGACCAGGCGGCGCCCCGACGGACGCGCCGTCATAGTCACCGTGTTCAGACTCAGGCCAAGAAAAACAGCGGCCTGCGAAGGTACCAGGCTGCTCTTTTCGAAATTGACCCTGAACCCCAAGCGGGCGACATGAGTCAGAAGGCGCTCCGTATCTTCCAAGGACCGTGCCCTGGACGGGGCGCAGATCAACCAATCGTCCAGATAAGGCAACACCTTCATGCCACTGGCCTGTAGCGGAGCAAGAGCCGCCTTCACGCATCGGGTGAAAACCCTCGGAGAGAGAGAGAGAGGCCAAAGGGAAGAACCCTGAACTGCCAGTGAACGCCCCGATAGGCGAACCGGAGGAACCGCCGGTGGGGCTGCGCAATGGGCACGTGAAAATACGCGTCCCTCAAATCTACGGACGTGAACCATTCCCCGGCCCCAACAGTCTGAAGGACTTCCGCAGTCGTCAGCATGCGAAATGGAATGACCTTCAGGAAATGATTCAAGCCCCTCAGATCCAGAATTGGTCGAAAACCCCCCGTCTTCTTGGGCACGAGAAAATAACGGGAGTAATAACCCCTGGGTTGCAGCAGCGGATCTACCGCCTCGATGGCACCCTTGGTCAGGAGGGCGGAGAGCTCCTGATCCAAGAAAAGGCTTTTGCCGGGTCCGAGAACAAAGTAACCTTGACCCGGCCCGACAAGTGCGGCCGGCGTCGGAATTGCAGACGGTATCCGTGGGTCAATGTGGCAACCACCCACGGATCCCGAGCTCGAGCAGCCCAACACTCGAGCTGCTGATGGGAAAAATGTCCGACGCTCGGCCCTGAGGCGTCAATTCCGTGCCCCCCGCCCCCTAGGGGCTCTGGGGGGACCCCGCCCAGGACCAGCCGCGGCGCCACTTGGCTGGCGGGTCGGGCGCCTATGTACGGGTGGGGCACGAAAATTCCCGGCAGGCCTGACCTGGGGAAAACGCTGAGCACCAGTCCAATCCCGAGGAGGCTGCCGAACACCGGGGGCCACCATCGGGCGCAAAAACTGCCGGGGAGGGCGCACCACCCTGCTAAGGCTAGAAAGTTGCTGTCTAGTCTGACCAGCATGGACAGTCCGGTCCAATGCTTCCTGGGCCGCCGTCCCAAACATCTGACCCGGCTCGACAGGCACGTCACGGAGGGTCCTACGACAGGCCTCAGTCAGGGGAGACTGAGCCAGCCATACCTGCCGACGAGCCTGTACAAGGACCGACATGACCCGTCCGAGTTCCCTGGTCATCAAGGCAAAAGCGTGCAGAGCTGCGTCGCTAAACGCAGTAACATCAGTGCCCACAGCACTACCCTCTTGGAGGGAGGCAGACAGGGCAAGCAGCAGATGCGCTAAGGAGTTACCAATACGGCCAGCTCGAGCACCAGAATTGTAGGCCTTTGTTAGCAAGTGATCCGTCGCACGACACTGGCTCCGAGGGCACCTCACATTCTCCCGCAAGGACTCCTCCGGGGAAACAATGAGGGAGGCAACCGCCGGCTCAACAGCCGGCATGCAATCCAGGCCAGCCGAAGAGGCATCGTGCATCGCGCGGCCAAAGCCCGACCCTCAGCCGAAAGCTTAGAGAGACGGCTGGGGTCCCTCCAGCACGCGTGTAGCTCCTTCAGATACTCCGCGGACGGGGGCACAACAAAAGCAGGAGACGAACCACCACGCCTGAAAAAAACACTGCCAGGGTCAGCCTGTCCCGACTGGGGAAGTTCCACCTGCAGACGGGATAAGGCCCTGCGAAGAACCTCCTGCATTGAGCCGTCACCAGACCGGCTGGACACACTATGTGCGGAAGAATAAGCATCGTCCCCCGAAAGGGACCGCGCGTCATCCTCGTCCCGGAAGCACGAAGCAGATGCCGCCAGAGAAAGCACATCCTCCTCCGGATGGAGGGATGGCATGGAGCAAGAACCAGCCCCAGAGACTGCATCAGCAGCACAACGTGCCTGGAATGCAGATTTCATCGCCTCCAACTCTGCAGATAACTGCTCCACCCTCGACACCAGGACAGCATCCGGCTTGGCCTGCTTGGAAGGACCATGGCCATCAGACCGCTCCCCTGAAGCACAGGCCTCAGCACGGCGCTTAGAACGCCGAGGGGGCGGAGCCACAGCAGGTCCCACTGGCAAACTACCACCGTCGCCAGACGAAGGCAGCTGA